AGCTTAAAAATGTGTCCAAACTAGACATGCTTGCATAAAGGAGTGAATGGGGATACCACAAGCCAGTTTCAGAGGCTTGAATTAGTAACATTTTCCAGCTGTTATATTATTTTCATTGTTTCATGTTGAAAAATAAGAAAATTGCAAGGAACACTTTGAGAAATTGACTTATCAAGCAAAAACCATTTCCTGTGATATATAATGTAGGATGAAGGGAGCAAATGAATCGAAGCATGGTTCCAAATTCAACAGGCTTAAAGCAAAATGCAAAACCTTACAAAGTTTTTATTTAACATGTACCAGAGAAAATCTATGCTCCAAAGTGAAATGAATCAATGAAAATTGTGTTTATCTAATAAGTATTGCAGCAATGATTTAAAGTCGATAACTAGAATAACTAGAATACAAATCCCTGGTAAATGGAGTACAGATAGAAGTCCAGATAAAAAGGAAAATAAATGCTCTTGTGACATATTTTTCATACTATATTTCTTGTTAGACCAGTTTATAAGCATGTCATCAGAATACTTACCACTATAGTGTTCGATAGTTCTTTGTGAGCATCATCAAGTTTCACAGCCATTTTGGCAATTTTGTGCGACAGAACCTTCTGACGTGTAGTCCAGTCAGAATTTCTCCAAATGCTCTTTGGAATTTCACTTAAACCAAAACCAAGAAGAAATGCACCAGTCACTAGCCCAAATGTATTTGAGCCTGCCATTGCCAAAGCCAGTATATCTCTAATCCTGCCAGCGAACGTATAAACAATGAATGGAAACGACATTAAGAATTTAAGACCAAGTGATTCAGTATAGCTATGCATGTTATAATAAGAGGATTGCGATCCATCAACTGCTACATTAAAGAATATTTTTGACCACTAAATTCGATTAGTTTTTCTTATTTATTTATTTAATGTTATTGTTTATGTCTTATTTTCTCTTGTTTTGTGCGTGTTTTAGGGGGAGTTGGAATAGGTGCACTGCCTCATCTTGAGTTTATCAAGGAACCAAGTATCTAGTGTAATATGTTATGGATTTGCAAGCTACTGTTCCAAATTCTTGAACTAAGCCCCTGCCCACCCCCATTAAATTAAAATCCATTTTCTCTCTTCTTATCAACTACACATTCTCCAATAAAATAATATTACACGCAAACCTAAAAACTTTCCCTTCCTTTTTAACACACATTCTTCAAAAAATTACTATTCCTTTCATTATAGTTCGAAATAATGGAGCCCAAAACCGGGGATCAATATGATGCATGAGATCCTCACTTTCAATTCTCTGCTATAATAAAGCCAATCGCTCGCAAAGGCTGATATATCATTTACCTGTTCTAAGACCCATTTCTTTCGATCCAATAATTTCATCATTGACAAAGATGCATGAAAAATCAGAAGTAAAGAACATAATCATGTAACAAGGACCCAAAAATCACCCACTGAAGACACCAGCCTCCTCTCAGAATGGCAACCAACAGTTAATAAGGCAGAGCACTTATGTATAGAGCCACAAGATCTTCACTCACTCGTCAACAAAACATTTAATCCCTCATGTGAAGTAAGAATTTCCAACTTCAATTGATCCAGCTGGTCCACATGGAATAGAATAGTGCTGCCTCATTGGTTGGTTATGGACAATACATTTCCACTCTCCCACTTCCCAATTAACTTCATGAGGTTGCCCCCACAAATTTGTCACATGTTTAGGAACAGCACAATTACATACCAAGAAAGGAAAATTACCAGACCTATAATGCACACCCATAAGACATATTTAGTGCATTCTATGTGGCAAGTTACCCTTGCCACTGATACAGGATTGAAAACAACTAAGAATTTACAGAGACCTAATTGTGCCAGAAAATAAATACAATGAAGTGAAATTAGAATAAGGGAAAAAAACTCACCCAATTTTGTCCATAATAATGAGGAGAATAAGTCCGAAAAGACCAATGGAACCCACAATTAAATAGAAGACTAAGTTGACATGTATGCTAGTCTTTAGTCTTTCCTTCACTGTAAAATCTCCAGCATCTTCGTAACCTTGTATCAAGGGCACAACAAGCCTGCTCAAAGTGAAAAATACAAAATAATAATCTCAAGATATGCATATCTCAATATATGTGTGTGACTATCTTCAGAAAAATATAAAAATAGAACCTCTAGAATGTTATGGCACTGCATAATTCTTCTCAGGATGTAAAAGAAGTACAAACATAATTTTAGTGGTATGAAATCCAGGATATGTAAGTTAACACCATCAACATGCATGACAAGAAGTTATTAAGCCACTGTTTGGTGGGGACTAAAATGAGATTTTTAGTAGATTTTGATAAAAGTTGAAGAAATGTGTAGTTGAAAGGTTGTGAACCCCATGAGATATGTGATTGATATTAATTATTGACTTTGACTTAGATAAAAATCTAGGTTTTAATTTCCACCAAAACAGAGGCTAAATAGGATACCTAAATAAAGCAAATGAAAAAACTCAGACAGACATTACTATCGAAAAGAGGATCTTCACGTCTCTCTCATTCAAAACCTTTGTATAAATGATTTAAGGACAATGCATCTATACAGATTCTAATATTTTATCCTAATAATCATAGAGAGTTAGCAAGCAACATCCGCGTATCAATCAACAGCATTCTAGAGAATAAAAGACAGAATATATCAATTTTGAAGGGGAATAAAAATAAGTGTATAGTGTATTTGAGTGAAATCTAACCAATGCAACTACCCTATATAGTAAATAGTGCAATACGTAGTTACAAATCCAAAATTTTAGAGAAGGCATACCATGTAAGCAAAAATGTACTCCAATATGACCAACTCCAAAAGAAAGAGATGCCTCCATTAAATTGACCAATTATTGTCTGCACCACAAGAAAGAAAATCCTTAAGATTTACCGAAATTCATCAAATTAATTATGGTGAAGGGATATTACCAATCATAAATCTGAGGAATTTCTAGTGTTGTAAGTAAAAAAATCCATAGGAAAAGTTTGCATGGCATGCAAGAGAAAGAGGATTGAGAAAGGAAGCTGATGTTACAAGACATAGCTCAGTCAGTAGGTTCGGATGACTCTAAGTGTATGTTTAGCAAAGCTTTTAAGTGCTTATAAGCTGATCAATCATCATTTTTAAACACATATTCCTTTTGACTTACAACTTTTATTTATTTTTTAACCACACATTCCATGGGATTTAATGCTTATAAGCACTTAAAAGCTTAGCCAAACAAGCAAATCAACTCTGATTAGTTTGTCTACAGCTTGTTCAAGATCACTTGCTAGTTCCACCTAGGGGCAGAGCCAAGACCTAGTCTCAGCAGGGTCAAAATTTAGCTCAGAATTTTTTATTTTTTGCAAAATAAGACATAAACGTAATATTAAATCTCCTACCTACAATTTTTCCTTATTTGTTTCCATACTTTTGTTATGTCATATAATATCTTCATTATTAACTTTATTTAGTACATATTTTCAATATCAATAATGAAACTGTCATTTCCAAACCATTTGATTTCTTTACAACTTTTAAGTTTATCGAATTACATAAATGTAGTTATCTAGGCTTCGAACTCTAATGTTCAGCTCAACATGAGTTATGACAAATAAAGTTGTGAAAGTTGTGCTACATAAAAATTGAGTCAATAAATCAATATTTTATTCTTCTTCAATCGTGTTCAGCCCCTGTTTGGTGGCTTTTAATTTGATAAAAAATAAAATTTAAAAAAATACTATATTTAAAATTTTTATTTTTATTTTTATTTTTTGAGAATGTGTGGTTAAAAAATAAAAAAAAAATTAAATTTACATGTACAATATTATATTGTGTTAATGTGTGGTTGAAAATGAGTATGAGAAATAAATTAAATTAAAGGTCACCAAATAGGGCTCAATTGTTTTTCGTGCATAAAAATACCTAAAACTAAGGTGTAGAGAATATCTTATTTGTAATACTTTAATCAAACTAGTCAAATAAAATAAAATTAAACATGTACCTAGTAGTGACAACTAAAAACGGAAAAGAAAAAGGAAAAAGAAAGTGATACTAAACCCTTGTTTGATGGTCACTATTCTAGAAAAATATTGTTTTGAATAGTGAATTTTCGAGAATGCATTGTTAAATAATAGAAAAAAAATTTTGAATTTACGTGTAGAATATTTTATTATGTGAATGTGTGATTGAAAATAAATATGTAGAAAAAAGAATTTAAAAAAATCCATCAAACAAGGAGTAAGCCCTTGTTTGAGCTCCATTTTTCATCAAATTATATTTTTCAACAGTGATTTGACCTTATTTCAACAACATATTTCTAATAAAATAATATTATATACAAACCCAAAACTTTTTTTTTTTTTTTAACCACACATTCTCCATTATAATAGTATTTCAAAATGCATTTTAAAAAAATGGGGCTCAAACAACCCCTAAGTGAACAAGTATTTTTTAATTAAGACAGACTTATAATGAGAGAAGGTAGAGACAAAGAGAAGAAAAAACAAAAAACAATGAAGATTAGGCCAAAATAAGGCTTTGAAAAAATTAAAAGAACAAGAAGCTGAAAAGGGAAAGAGAGAAAGCAGCATTATAAACTTGGCTTCTTTCATTTTAATTGTTATTTATAACATNAAAATATTCCCAATTATAGAACAATTAGAAAATAATCTAGAAAAAGGAACCCATATCTTTTAATAATTATTCTACTGGATGAGAAATCAAATTCTTAAGGACAGTAAAATCAATCTAACCTAGGACTGTACATTTTCAGACAGTAATTGGTCACATACAAAATTTTTCTTTCTAAAACCTAAACCGGATAAGCTACCTATTTCCTAAGCCCTGAGAGGTACCCAATGAGAGACAAAACTTGCTTCAAAGCCTACCAACTACTCTTGAAGGGTTCTACCTACGTGGGCACGATAAACACTTTTTTTGATAAGTATGTGGGCACGATAAATACCACTATAACAAAAACTACTATCAATCTACATCATCCCATACATTGTGAGAAAACCAAATTTCTCTAAAGAAAAATTAAAACAATAGTTTATGACTTAAGTGATGCACAAAAATAAGTTGTAAGTTCACTAACAACCTATCTATTATTTAGCAGAAAGCTATGCATTTAACATATATGTTCTTGAACAATGACTCATGCAGATTTTATGTTAAAAATAGTACAGATCAAGAATAGTTCAAACTAAAACACAAAGAGGAAAGGAAATTAAAAAAGAAAAGAAGGCAGTTCGGAAGAATATTATGAGAACTTATCAATGAAACCAAGGTGAAAGAATTGGGCACCAGAAGTAACTTCCAAACACAAACCGGGACTCAATAGGGTAGTACCCCAAATATAGGAATAGTGCCTATACACATTTAATGTAACTTCCTAAAAACGGGGCATACCAATAACCCAAAAGAAAACCATTTCATTTCCATCCAGATAAACTCTAAATCTGATTAAATGTCTCTCCTGTAAAAAGTATTTAAGTCATCATTAAATAGACATGTTAAAAACATAATTAATTCCAACATGAAACTGGATTACTTATGACATATCAGATAAGGCATTCCAAGGTCATGATCTCTCAAAGAGCTGGGGCTATGACCGTAACGGACAACATTATAAAGAAAAATACAGTTTACAAGAAAGTTCCATCTAAGGATAAGGATCACAGGAACATGTCAGCGATACTCATTGAGTGCCAGCAGCTAGCTGTGTCATCAGCAATAAGGTAGCTGATGCCTTTCGAAGCACTTTCTAGTATGCACTTTAGTTGGCCATGCACACAAACATAGATATAATTGAGTCTAAATGACATAGGCAGAGTATACAGCAGAGACTGGATATGTCAATCTTACAATAAGTTCTAATTCTCAAATTCACTTCCCATGCACACAAACGTTAATATAATTTATCTCCATAAGTAACTCCTGTAAAACTTTTGCATGTACAGCACAAACGTATACACATTCTTACACATACTCAGGCGCCAGACTTGCAATTCCATTTGTGTATTAAGCTCGTGTAATCCTTTTATTTCAAGATACAAAACACATACAAAAAGAATCCGAACAGTGAATATACATGCACGCGAGCATGTTTTGCTAGCTTGTGTTTAGTACTCTAGTATCAGAAATATAAGGTACAACATGGGCCTGCACTTACAAGATAGACTAGTTTGCCTCTTCCTTTAAATTCATAAAGTTGATTCAAATAATCAAGACGGCAAGCGATTAAACCTTTTTCTCAACCTGACTGCTTTGGCCTTTGAACGTGCCAAACCGGCAAATAGTCAATCTAAAAGCAAGAAAGACGAAAGGAAATTTTGCCTGAATAAGTCTCCGGGAAGTGTTTATTTATCATTCCTTGAATAAAATCCGTCCTATCTTCCTTTCAATCAGCTCACCAATTCACAATCTTTTTTTAGGTCTTCTCCAATATTTATTCTAGAGCTTCATACCTACAAAATGATACAAAACCTAAAACCCTTGCCATTTTTAAGTGCACGTTGGGAGTCCATTATCGAATGAAACAAGAACCTGTCATTTGGGATTCCATCCACTTAAATTCAGAATCCCAGCTATACTAAAACTCGAAAACAGAACCATTGCACAAACAAAAACTCAATCAAACAGGATTAATAAAAACTCGGCCAAATCAAAAATCAACGAAGTAAATTAAGCTCACAAGAGCTAATTAAATCATTTCAAGCAATGCATAAACTGAAATCTAAAATAACTAGCGTACTACTCAAAAAATTTAGCTGCAGAATCAGAATTTACTGTCCAAATGTCGGCAGGGACTAGGCTGATGATTGAAATGGAACAGAACCAAGTGTATCCCACCGTAAGAAACACGTAACGCGGCACTTCCGGACCGGCGAAGTATTTTAGAGTCAAAATCACCATGCCTAGGGTTAGCGGCAGAGAGATCAAGTAAAAAACCCACATCTTCGATCAATTCCCCTTTTGCGTATAATCCAAATAATGTAAAAATCAAATTTAGAATGATATCAATTGTTTAGATCGGAATTCAAAAATATAAAAAAACGGGAATTTTGATCGAAATTCTGAAATATGGAGTGTCATGGAAGGGATTGCACACCAAATTCTGACTATTCCAGGTTTCTTTCCCTCTGTTTGCACGCGCTGCCAATGCGCGTGGATGAGAATGATGGCGTCGGGTGGGATTTTGGTTTATGCCGACGAATCTGTAACGCACTTCAGCTAAAAACTTTTGAGTAATGCTATTTGAATGTCAAACTCTCCTCCACCACTCCTGCCGTCAAATATCATATTGTGAGGGTGGTAAATCGCAGTTTATACCTCCAAGGGTAGAGGGTGAAAGGCTGCTTGTGCATTTGTACTTACCCAAGAGCCAAATTCATATTTCAGGATTCGAACTCTTGACGCAACAATTTCAAGCAAAGTTGGATTTCTCCACCCTCCCCTTTTACAAATAGTAATGCTATTTGAATTTTGCTACACATAGATCAAGATTTGCGCTTTTGTATATACTCTCTTCACACGAGGGAAGGTGACATGATTTTTTTAGAATTTTACTATGGGCCCATTTGGGAGCGATTTTTTCAACCAAAAAATTGATTTTTTGATCGTTATTTCATTATTTCATCCGTTATATTTGACTTTTTCTCTCATAGGTGGATCCCACTTTTCTCATAACGATCAAAAAATCAATTTTTAAAATCACTCCCACACAGACTTTATTTGTAACCTAATTTTTGACACTTACATTATAGTCAAACATCAAATGGACGAAAAAATTACTTGAAATTTAAACTATCCAATAGGATAATGCTATATGACAAAATGTAAATTAAAATATACATCATAGTATATATGTAGCAAGATTATTTTTTTATTGTTGTGGGTCCCCCTCCTCATAGAAGGGAAGTATACATCGAAGTGTCAACTCCTGTATACAAATAGCAATGCTATTTGGCCCTTGTTTGAGTCACGTTAATTTCATAAGAGTGCATTTTTAAATAGTGTACATATAAAAATTGTACGATTATAAAATATGAAAAATTTTGAATTTATGTTTGATATTATTTTATTAAAGAATATGCTGTTAAAATAATTTCAAATCGCTATTTAAGAATATATTTTTCTTAAAACTTGTGGATCAAACAGGGTCTTAGTCCCATCGGCCTAGGTAACGCTAATGTGGTATTCATTGATAGATAAAATTAAATAACTCATTTCATTTTACATTTCATTTAACCTATCATTCAATACCAACTAAATTGGTATTACAATAAAAAATGGAGCTACATAACATTACTCAAAACTTTCGTGGAGTGCATAAGGTAGTCTGTTTGTTTTAGTCTTTGTTTGAAATATGATTATAATTTGTTTATAATTGATTAAATCACTTTTTATTTACTTATTTCATGATATTTAGAAATACTTACTTATATATGAATTTCATTTTATCTATTTAAATTAAACTGATTCTAAAACTCCCTAAACATGTTCTAATTATGAGGAAATTTAATCAAGATCAAATTGAGAAGGAAATGAAGATTTTTCACTTTTTACAAGAGCTGGGGCGAGTTTTTGGCTGAGGACCATTTTTCTTTTACGTCCAAATTTTTCGACGTAATTTTAACTGAAGGCTTGTTTTGAAGAATTTTGTTTAATTATTTTTAATCATAATTTTATATGATTCGTAATTTTATTTATTTTTTACTTTTTAATCACACATTAAAAAAATCACTTTCAGTTGGAAGCAACGTTAAAATGGATTTTATTTTGATTTGAATAGTAAAGACTATCGGTATTCATCATATGAAAGAAATAAAAATGCCAGCCCATTCTTTGTTATTATCAAGCCCATCAGAAAGTGGTGCTCTATGGGAGTGTTCTTCAATCTGGCTCCATGAGAAAAAGTCTTTCCGCTGCAAATTTGGATTACATGGATTACTAGGATTCTTTGGGCATGGACCAGATTTGGGCAGAGGAGATAGTTGAGCCCACCTTCCAAGAAGATTTGGGAGTTTTGGTTTTAAAAAAAGGGGAATTTTGATCGAAATTCTGAAATATGGAGTGTCATGGAAGGGATTGCACACCAAATTCTGACTATTCCAGGTTTCTTTGCCTCTGTTTGCACGCGCTGCCAATGCGCGTGGATGAGAATGATGGCGTCGGGTGGGGTTTTGGTTTATGCCGACGAATCTGTAACGCACTTCAGCTAAAAACTTTTGAGTAATGCTATTTGAATGTCAAACTCTCCTCCACCACTCCTGCCCTCAAATATGGTGAGGGTGGTAAATCGCAGTTTATACCTCCAAGGTAGAGGGTGAAATGCTGTTTGTGCATTTGTACTTACTTAAGAGTCAAATTCATATTTCAGGATTCGAACTCTTGACGCAACAGTCTCAAGCAAAGTTGGATTTCTCCACCCTCCCCTTTTACAAATAGTATTGCTATTTGAATTTTGCTACACATAGATCAAGATTTGCGCTTTTGTATATACTCTCTTCACACGAGGGAAGGTGACATAATTTTTTTAGAATTTTACTATGGGCTCATTTGGGAGCGATTTTTTCAACCAAAAAATTGATTTTTTGACCGTTATTTCATTATTTCATCCGTTATATTTGACTTTTTCTCTCATAGGTGGATCCCACTTTTCTCATAACGGTCAAAAAATCAATTCTTAAAATCACTCCCACACAGACTTTATTTGTAACCTAATTTTTGACACTTACATTATTGTCAAACATCAAATGGACGAAAAAATTACTTGAAATTTAAACTATCCAATAGGATAATACTATATGACAAAATGTAAATTAAAATATACATCATAGTATATATGTAGCAAGATTATTTTTTTATTTTTGTGGGTCCCCCTCCTCATAGAAGGGAAGTATACATCGAAGTGTCAACTCCTGTATACAAATAGCAATGCTATTTGGCCCTTGTTTGAGTCACGTTAATTTCATAAGAGTGCATTTTTAAATAGTGTACATATAAAAATTGTACGATTATAAAATATGAAAAATTTTGAATTTATGTTTGATATTATTTTATTAAAGAATATGCTGTTAAAATAATTTCAAATCGCTATTTAAGAATATATTTTTCTTAAAACTTGTGGATCAAACAGGGTCTTAGTCCCATCGGCCTAGGTAACGCTAATGTGGTATTCATTGATAGATAAAATTAAATAACTCATTTCATTTTACATTTCATTTAACCTATCATTCAATACCAACTAAATTGGTATTACAATAAAAAATGGAGCTACATAACATTACTCAAAACTTTCGTGGAGTGCATAAGGTAGTCTGTTTGTTTTAGTCTTTGTTTGAAATATGATTATAATTTGTTTATAATTGATTAAATCACTTTTTATTTACTTATTTCATGATATTTAGAAATACTTACTTATATATGAATTTCATTTTATCTATTTAAATTAAACTGATTCTAAAACTCCCTAAACATGTTCTAATTATGAGGAAATTTAATCAAGATCAAATTGAGAAGGAAATGAAGATTTTTCACTTTTTACAAGAGCTGGGGCGAGTTTTTGGCTGAGGACCATTTTCTTTTACGTCCAAATTTTTCGACATAATTTTAACTGAAGGCTTGTTTTGAAGAATTTTGTTTAATTATTTTTAATCATAATTTTATATGATTCGTAATTTTATTTATTTTTTACTTTTTAATCACACATTAAAAAAATCACTTTCAGTTGGAAGCAACGTTAAAATGGATTTTATTTTGATTTGAATAGTAAAGACTATCGGTATTCATCATATGAAAGAAATAAAAATGCCAGCCCATTCTTTGTTATTATCAAGCCCATCAGAAAGTGGTGCTCTATGGGAGTGTTCTTCAATCTGGCTCCATGAGAAAAAGTCTTTCCGCTGCAAATTTGGATTACATGGATTACTAGGATTCTTTGGGCATGGACCAGATTTGGGCAGAGGAGATAGTTGAGCCCACCTTCCAAGAAGATTTGGGAGTTTTGGGTTAATTAATCCAATGTTTTAAGTGGAAATTACAAATACTAATAGATCTGAAATTTTCATTTCATAAATTAGATGGGATGTTTAGTACTTCACAAATCAGAATTTCAAACCCCTAAATTACCTCATCTCTCTCTATTCTCACCTCTCAACCACGGCTCTCAACAGTCGGGAAAAAAAATGAGAGTGTCGGTGCCTGAGTGAAGCCGATCTAAGCAGTGTCGCCGTCACCAGTCTCCAATCCAATGATGTCGGCTCTTCCCTCTCCTCTCCTTTCCTCTATTGTATGTGCATCATATCCATCTTGACACAATTTCTCCCTTTACGAATTTGTGATGGCGATTTTGTGACGACGACTGTGGTGGTGGATTTGGAGGTTTGGGTGAGTGTGAATCTGTGATGGTGGTGGTGCAGCGGTAATGGTGGTGCGGGCGATGATGAAAGGGTGCGATAGTATTAGCAGCGTGGATCTAGCGATTTTAATGGCTGTGAATATGTGATGGTGGTGGTGCAGTGGTAATGGTGGTGTGGTGTTGATGTGGTGGTGCAGGCGACAATAAAAGGGTGCGATAGTATTGGTAGCGTGGATTTGGCGATTTTAATGGCTGTGAATATGTGGTGGTGCAGTGGTGATGGTGGTGGTGCGGACGACGATGCAAGGGTGCTATGGTATTGTTAGCGTGGTGGTGCGTGCTGTTGACTAGTTTGTTGTGAGGTGGGTGGCTCTGTGGCAATGGTGTTTGACGTTGCTATGACAGGTAATTCTTACGACATTCATTCTCTAATTTTTGGTGTTTGGTATTTGCTTTGTAGTGGTTATGATGTTGGCTGTGGCTTGGATGGATTTGTCGTGAAGGTGGTGGATGAATGACGATATGGTGGTGTTTTTTGCTAATTGTTGATTTGCATGATGTGGTGGTATTGATGTCAGGATGTGGTGGTGGTTCTGGCAGTGATGGTGACAATGGTATTGCTGGAGGTGGTGGTCACAAATCTGTAACCATTAAATTGATCAATCAGTGATCAATAAATAATATGTGACCAATGAAAAAAATAATTTGTGATCTAAAGCTGATGTGTGACCTGAAAAGTTTTTGAATTTCCGATCGATAATTTGATATTCTGTGATTGTTTAATATGTCGTGACTTATAATATTTGTGCTCTATGACCAATTAATAAGTTTTGACGTATATATTTTTTATTTGTAATTGACGGACAAATTTTGACAGATAAAAATTTCAAATTGTGAC